CAAATGACACAAACGTGTCGTACAAATATGATCCGGGCTGCAACGCTGTCCATCGAAGCCAACAGGGGAATGGCTGATTCCCCATGGGGGGCCCAGCATGAAATGTGTCCTCAATGAGAGAGTGACCTGCGCAGGGTCGACAAGTCAGAGGACAAGACTGCCAAGATAGGAGCTATCTCACTGCCGAGGACCCTCTTCTGAGAAGGAGGAAAGATGCTAGTGATCAGAGGACACGCAGTGGAAGGAACACACGAGATCCGCCACCCTTGCGTGAGCCCTGGCCTCAAGACGCGGCCCTCAACCAGCCTTGTGCTCTGCATCCCCGCCCACAGCTTCCTCCAGCCTCAGCCTGGCCTCCCGGGATGGCAGGGGACCACTGCCCCACCCTGCCCGGCAGCATTCCTACCCTGCCCCACCCATCACCACACCCTTTCCTATTCCTCTAAACCCTCCATTGGCCTTGCCTCAAGTCCAGGCAGGCCTGTCCCTCCACCTGGCTAGCGTTTCTCCAGCCCCTCTCGGGACCACTCCCCAAGGAGAATCCTCCCGATAGTGGGTTGGGGAGGGGAGGCAAGGGAGACCAGGGCAGAAGCACGGATATGCCTGTTATCCCACTATCCACAGGCATGCCCAAAATTTGGTCCTGTTTTTTTTTTTTTTTCAATGAATAATATTTGCCTTTCGTTTTCATCTCTGCCTAGGAAATCTCTTGGATTTTCAATGGATGGTGTAAGATTATAGTCTCAGACATGTCTTTTGTAATTCTAACTTTGCCTTTCAAATAAAGTTCTCCTTCCCTTGTTCATGTCTGGGAAAGAATGAGAAAATACTTTTGAATGGAGTCATTCAGGCTCCTGGGGAAGAGGAAAACCAGTTATTTCTACTTTGAGAAATTAACATAAATAATATTTAGAATACATCAAGAATACAGATACAGAGTATTTCTTGATTTGTTTGGTGGATATTTTACTGCAAAATTAGTTTTTAGATAGCAAGCATTTGTTTATTCTTATAGTCCTAGATATTTACTTATTCATTTGCTTTATGTGTTCATTTGTGAATTTTTTCTTTTATTGATATATTCAATGTCTGTGTATTTCTCTTTAATGTGCAATGTATGCTCTAAACTATTAATTTCCACAGTTCTTTCCATGTCTCATTATTACAATCTTGTTTATGAAAGCTATCTAAGCTCAATATTTACATATTACCTAGTCAGATATGAAGTCCATATTAAATGTTTAATAAATCCCCTCTTGGCTTGAACTATGGGACCAGGTCTGTTAACATGTGTAGCTTATTGGTATTCCTCATCTCTAGGACCATTCTTATTATCAATATAAACGTTTTCTTATACTATAAGGCATTTATGTTTTCTGTACTGGAATCCCACCCCTCTTCTGCTCTTTTTTAATACTTTTACATAGTGAACGTAAAAAGAGAGTGATGGAGAGATGGAGAGATAGAGAGGGAAGCAAAGCATAGAGATTCTTACCTACAGAGAACAAACTGAGGGTTGCTGGAGGAGAGGGAGGTGGGGGGATGGGCGAAATGGGTGATGGGCATTAAAGATGGCACTTGTTAGGATGAGCACTGGGTGTCATATGTAAGTGATAAATCACTGGGTTCTACTCCTGAAACTTATATTACACTATATATAAACTAACTGGAATTTAAACAACAATTTGAAACAAGGAGAAAAAGAATGGAGTACAGTTCATTCTGGAGATGGAGAGAGGAAATAAGGAAACGGAAGACTCTGCCCCTAAGGACATGGCTTCAAAAGTACTATTTCGATGGTGCCTAAAAAAAGGAAGGACATCAGGAAGAACATGCTTTTACCAAATCAAGAGTTTCAATACACAGGGATAAATTATAACATCGAGTAAATAGAAGTTCTGGAGTTGAAAAGTACAATAGCTGAATCGGAAAAACAAAACAAAACAAAATAACCCACCTATCGTAAGAGGGCCCCAGAAATGGATTTGATCAGGAGACAAACTAATCAGTGAACATGAATGTAAATCATTTGAAATGATCAGTCATGGTTTATGGATGAGCCAAAGATGGTCTCTGCATATCAGCCCTATGTGGTTTATTTCTTCACAGCAGACAGAGCCCTTTAGCACAAAAGTCCATTGTGGCCAAATTCAAATTTTTACACACTGAATTGTTTTAAATTTTTGGATTTTAAGCCATTTTAAGTGCAGCCATATCTTCTGTGCCTATCCTGTGAATCACCACCTAATGTCTACTAGCAGGAAATAAGATAAACCATAATTATCAGTGTATCCAAGCTCCTGTCATTCATTCATAATTCTCTGACTCAGAGACTCCCTATCTTGTTGTTGAGAGACATCCTCTCCACAGGTAAGCCCCTTCTCCAACCCCTCACTTCTGGGGGGTGTCTTTGCCCTCCTAGCTTCCTAGGTAGTGGCCCCACACTGTGGCCACCAGTAGATATCATCCTGTGAGGGCCCTCCCCATTCCATCAGGCTGTCAGTGTGCCACTCAAACAAATCTTGTGTGATTATGCCTCACTGTCATGAGATAAATGTATGTGATCAGCCCTATACTGAATTGCTTTAATCTCACTACAACTTCCCAATACACATCCATGTGGGCATGGATAAATCCCACTGGGACATAGGGGTGTGTGCCTCCATCTTAGGGGTCCCAACACTAGCACGGCCCCCCCCACCCCTTCCCTCCTGGTGACACAGGGAGTGGTGATTCCTGGCTAGGCACCCGATAGGTCTCAAATAAGGCGGTTGCCAAAAGTTACAGTTCAGTTCAACTACAACTTGGGGATAGACATATTCCTTTAGGCAGATAATAGTCAGTTGCTCATCATCCTCACACATGAGTTGCCAGGTTTCTACCCTACCTGGACCATAGGATCACTGGTGGAGATGTTTTTTGAATGATCTATCAGTGTCAATTAGGGATGTGCTGATTTCTTTGGTCTCAGGCCCATGTTTTTGGGACTGAGCAATTTTGGGTAGAGCACATAACAGCCCAGTGGATCTCCTTGGAATATTTCCCCTTGATGTTTAGATTCAATACTGGTGTTGGTCAAAGGACAATATTTCCAACCCTTGGAGACAAAGCATGGGTATTTCCTTTGTGAGAATGCGTATTTTGCTTGGAGAAGACTACATTACATTCATTATTTAAAAAAAAAACAACCCAGCTTATATGGTGACTAATAGGTTTAGGGATTTTATCCTGCTGCTTCCCTATTTTCTGGTCTGCAGGTGGGGTGGTGAACAGCTATGGCTCTATCTAAGGTGATTGGAGGATGCATGAATCAGGAATTACCTTAAGAGGATATAGACTATGGTCATGGAATTAACTCTTGTTACCATTTAGCTCAATTCAGAAGTTTGGGGATAAATCCGAGAAGCTTTCTGGGGGCTGGGAGGGCATAGCTGCCTATCTCTCTGGTACCAGGTTGCTTCGAGTAGCAGAGACATAGACTGAAGGGTCACCAAAAATTTTAGACTAGATGTCCTTGATAGTGAGGGCCTCCGTGATTTGCCTGACCGGGTTCCTGACACTGAGACACCAGGAAAGTGGGGCTAAAGGTCAGGACTATGCCACCACTGGGTCTGATGGGAAACAGACGGTGTTGGAGGCAAGTTGGAAAGAGTGGAGCTGATCTGTGTGGAAGGAGATGTTGGAGAAAGAGGAGATGCAGAGATTTTGCTAAGTCTCTCACCCACATACCAAGGAGTGCAGAATGGAAACTTTACAACTGCATACAGAAAACTAGAACACCATCATGTAGCTTCCTTAGCAACAGGTTTTATTGTTTCAATATTTGCAAGTGTTGATCTACAAATAACGTTTAATTTCCTACAAATCCTACATCCAACACTGCCAGAGCATGTCACTCTCCTATATTCCATGCCACATTTTCCACAAATAGGTATTTTCTCAAAGTCTCAATGACTTGCTGATTGTGTACTAAAGGACCCTTTCATATATAGCATAACCACCACACACACACACACAAACACACTCTTTTTCTGATACAAAATCTGGCTGAAGTGTTGTCTACTCTGGTTTCAGGACTGCTATCTCCTCAGTGTGAGAACCTTACTGTTGACTCAGAAATAAGGGATCACCGAAGACTCCCCTTCACTCATGACACTGAGAGTGTTTCGTACAGTCTGAATCCTCACATGTGCCGCAAGAGCTGTTCTTTAAATAAAGCATTTCCCATGATTTTACATTGAATAACTTCTCTCGTCTGAATTATTTGTAAGAATTGTTTGGTATTCCTCAGAGCCTTCATCTTCTTACATCCTCAGTGTTTATTCCTTCACTGAATTTTCTTGTGCTCACCATACCAGGTACTTGGCTGAATGTTCTTTCACAGTGATTACAGACCCAGGGGTTCTCCTGTGTCGAGTTGGTTCATGTTTAACAATAATTACAAACCACTGTTCCAGTATCTTTCAAGTTGAGTGCTTTGTTGAAAACATCTGTATCATTTTATTTACAGCATGAGTTCTGCTGTGTTATCTAAGGTCATATCAACGACTAAATGCTTTGCCACATGGACGGCTTACATATGAATTCACTTCCTCGTGCAAATACATTTCTTGATTGAGGAGTATGAGGACTGAAGGATCTCCCATATTGACTACAGGCTTTTCCTTCAATATGTGCATCCAGTGGTGAATTTAAATGTTAAAGCTGTGGCTGATACTTCCTCCACATTCATTGCATCTGTAATACCATGTCGTCTCTATTCAGAATACTTACTGAGGGCACTCCCGATTTTCTCTCTGGTGTTGGGTACCCTCATGTCGTCTAAGAGAAGAATAATGGCTGAAGGCTTTCCCACACACCTGACATGCGTAAGGTTGCTCTCCAGTGTGCGTTCTCTCGTGTCGTTTAAGATTAGAGTATTGACTGAAGGCATTCCCACACTGGTGACATTCATATGGCTTCTCCCCTGTGTGTGTTCTCTCGTGCCGTCTGAGTTCAGAACTTTGACTGAAGGTTTTCCCACACAAATGACACACACGTGGTTTATCTCCTGTGTGGATTCTCTTGTGCTGGCTAAGGCCAGAGCTCTGACTAAATGTTTTCTTACATTCATGACACTGGTAACATTTCTCTCCAGAATGAATTTTCTCATGTTTTCTTAGGTAGGATCTGTGACTGAAAGCCTTCTTACACTGATGGCATTCTTATGGTTTCTTTCTGGTGTGAATTTTCTCATGCTGTCTCAGGTAAGAATTCTGCCTGAAGACTTTCCCACACACATGGCATTCATATGGTTTCTCTCCTGTGTGTGTTTGACTGTGGTTTCTAAGGTCAAAGCTTTGCACAAAGCCTTTCCCACATAAGTGGCATTTAAATAGCTTCTCTCTAGTGTGAATCATCGCATGTCTCCTAAGGCAAAAGCAATTATTAAAGGCTTTCCCACACATATGACATTTATATAATTTGCCTCGTGTGTGCATTTGACTATGCTGAGGAAGGGGTGATTGTTCACTATGTGATTTTCTACACTGTTTGCTGATGTAACGTTTCTTCCTGAGGTGAATTAACAAATGTTGAGACAATGCAGATCTCTGAATAAACTCATCACTCAAATCAATACATTCAGTATGATCCTCTGAAGCAATAGATTTATGCTTTGGGGAGAAGACAGAAGGTGGTTAATAGTTTGCCAACATACATGCATACATTTATTTTTCTACATATAAATTCTGGAGTAGCAACTAGTAATAGAATTCTGTTAAAATATTTTAAATGTTAATTGCATATACATGTTGTTACTCCTCTGCAGGCACCAATATTTTCTCTTTTTTAATATCCCAACCGAAGAGTTATCAGATTTAGTTTGAAGATTCTCATATATTTCAAAGACTAGATAATAACAAATGTAATGCAATGGTCTCTTTTCTTCTTCTTTTCTTTCTTTCTTTTTTTTAGATCTCAGGTTAGTAGTGATTTCAGCTCATGTTAATTTCTTTACTGACTTAAAAGTATCCAAAACTTTTTGTCTGGAAAGAGTTTAATCCTTACTTAATGACATTCAGGCAATTGTGCTCAATTATCAACTTATCTCATTACCTTTAGGCCTTTAGTTTGGATATCTAGGGACTATACCCATGACACTTACCTTTGGCACAGTCAGTGCTATGCCCTTCTTGTTGATATGTTGTGTTAATATCATTTCTGGTTTTTTGCAGAGTCTTTCCATGCCTAAAATAATTGAAAAAATATTAATTGTTAGAACAGCATTAGGGGAATAAAATGTAGAAAAGCACCAAGGTCCACGTGAGTATATTTCAGAAATTGGTACTTAGCTTGGAAAGCGTGCCAAATGGATAAATACTCTAGGACACAGAAACATTTTAACGTTCACTGTCAATTAGAGAACAATGAGGGTTGATAATATGAAAGATGTAAAGTGGTGGAAAGATGTTGGGTCAGCAAATGATTGGAAAATCTCTAAATGGGAGGATCAGGACCACTATGTCAATGTTTCACAGCAGTAATTGCATGAATAATTTTTTTCTCTAAAGAGAAAGTCAGGAGCAGGAAGACACATGCATTGTGATTGATTTCTGCAAGGATTGTAATCACCTGAGGAATTTTGCCCCAGTGTCCTCACTTACTTTTAGAAACTATCACTCACTTGACAAAATCTCCAGTGTGTATTTCTAAAGGATACACTCAGACTAGGCACCTTCTTCTACAGAATCACAGGTCCCTGTTGCTCACCTGAACTCTGCTCTTGATGAAATCCAGTTCCTTCAGTCTGCAGCTCTCCTTCTTGCTCCAACAGGAAGGGTCTTTTGCAGCTATTCTTCCCTGTTTGAGGGGGTGGGGGAAGGGGAAGTATATGGATTTTTAGTTCTGTGTGATTAACTTTGGTATAGCCAAGTCCAGGGCGAAATTTACCAAGGATGAATGAAGATATGATGGAATGTTAACCCATGTATCGACAAGTTCAACAGAGACCACACTGAAGGTCATTCATAGGACGAGGAGGAAATCAAGATGGAGGCAAAAGCAATGAACATGCTAGATGCTGATACCCACACACGAGTTCAGAGAAAGAATGTAGAATCCTCAGCCTTTTCAAAATGGGAGAGAATCAATGTCTCCACATTAGGTTGAAAACTTTTCAAACAGCATCGATGAATACAAGACCCCCAAGAATAATCAAAATAATGTTATTCTCACAACTCTGGTCTCAGTCCTCCACATAGTGACGAAAACAGTAATTGTTTTCATAATGTTTCATTAATTTATGAATTAAAATATCCAGTGAATTTCCAGTTCTATTCTTAATGCTGGAGACTGAGTAGCAAGAAAGATATGAATTTTGGTCAAGATTACAATCTAGTGTGGTGACAAAAAGTACAAGGTGAAGAACATCTCCCTTTTACATAATTACTAGAATTATAAAAACATCAGGGCAGCGTTTGGAGTGGGATATGCGGAGCTGTTCTAGATATTTCTTCAATGGATGAATGAATGGATGGACACAAACTTACATGTTGGGAGGCTCACCCAGAAAGATCAGATGATTGATACTTTCCAGCATCACATCTCTGAACAGCTTTCGCTGGGACGTGTCCAGCAGGGCCCACTCTTCCTGGGTGAAGTCTACAGCTATATCTTCAAACGTCACTGATTCCTAAAACATTGTGGATATTCTAGTTTAGACACAACCCTCTAGTTTAGACACTATACTACCAATGTCCAGTGTAGGAGGGTTGAGATGACAGCACGGAGGAAGGAAGTGTAGGAGATCTGTGTGTAGAAAGACCACTATGTCTTTTGCGGGGGTCCTTCCTGTCAGTTCACTGTCAGTAGTGAACTGTTGGATATGTTTACAGAGATCTCCACACTCTGACTTTATAATACTTTATTATAAAAGAAAATCGCATGAAGTGTGGTATCATACAACCTGGACGTGTCTCAATAACCTGGTGATTAGAACTTTCTGACAGAGGATTATAAAATATTTGCATGAGAGACACCCGGGTGGCTCAGTTGGTTCAGTAACCAACTCTTGATTTTGGCTCAAGTCATTGTCTCACAGTCATGAGTTTAAGCCCCATATCAGCCTCTGTGCTCCTTGGTATTCTCTCTCTCTCTCTCTGTCTGCCTCACTCTACTTTCTCTCTCTCTCTCTCAAAATAAATAAATAAACATAAAATTATTTGTTTGAAAATTCATAACTCTCTTTCCCATTAATTTCAAGGAACTGTACAGATTCATCACAACACAAATAACAACCATGGTGTGCTCCTTTTAAACAATAATCGTTGGTTCAAATTATTCTCTAGATGGACTTCTCATCTCCCAGCTACAAAGTGGTTTATTCACATGTTATGAATGTTGAAGGATACAAGGCATTGATGTAGGGAGTGTCTCCTGTCTAGCAAACCTGCACTAAATATAAGACATTATTGGTCATTAAAATGTCAGAACAGCTTGAGGGAATCGCCAGCATTCCTCAGAAGCGAACAAGATTCATAGATGGCTTTCTTCATGCTACAAGACTCAGGTTTCGGACAAACTACAAGGTCAGAAGGCTCAGCATCAGAAGCCAGGGATGTCTGACATGGCTGTGCTGGAAGACAGTCCCCTGGCCCTTGGCCTGACCAGTCCCGTGTAATGAGGGCTCCCAATCCTAATCTTCTCTGGGACCTCAGACACCAGTTACCACTGTTTATCTACTATCTTTATTTTGTCTCCATGCTAAAGGATAAGGGAAACCTCATGACTCGTTTGGGTCTATCTAGTTTTTCAGAAATTTCAGGAATCTAATTTTATTCTCTACCTATGGTAATCTCTCTCCTGTATGTGTAGTGCAATTAAGAAAATACTACTCCCTTCACATTCCTTTCATTTGTCAAATATGAACATAAGGTTGATTACTAAGAGGTAAAAATGTGTGACTGAGGACAAGCATGATAGTGGTGATTTTAAAAATCATGTAAAAAAATTATTTTACATTTTTTAAGAAAATTTCAAAAGTGTAAATTCTAATAATTGTATGAGAAAATACAATAGAATACAATACAATAGAGTGGAGAAAAATCATAAAATGATTCTTTATTCTTTCTATGCCTCTCTCCTGCTCCTCTCAATACTGAACAACCAGGTCTTGTAACACTGAATTCATTATACTGACATGTTGAAACATCTGTCTCCCTTTGTGACTATCATATTCTCTACACTCTCCTCTAGTTCTTGCAATCACCACCATCCTAAGCCTATTGCATTAAAAAATATGGTTAATTAGTGAATTATCCGCCAATGAGGCCATGGATTGGATGAGGGAAGAAAGACTTCTCTTATGTCTTCTGTAAATACACAAGCTTAATGAAAGCTCTCATAAATTTGCTTAATGTTAGGAAGGAAACTCATTATCAATAAGTTCCTGATGGATAATCACTATCCCCAAATACTGGGGAAATTAGAGTACAGATGCCTGAACATCCAACCCTTTCTGCTTGCAGCATCCATTCCAAAGGGAAAAACCCACCCACCAGATGGACTACTGTATAATTTCAGCAGAAAGAGGCAATCCCCACTCACCATTGTCAATTAGTCAGTTGCCAGGTGTCTTTCTCTGGGTTCTCAGTCACAGACAGTTCAAGCTCTAAGCAGGCAAAGCTGAGGATGAATAAGCCATGAGATCCAGTCCCGTGCACAATTTCCAGTCTCACCTGTCACGAAGCTGCAGACTTTCACCTGGGTATGACACCCAGCCCAACAAACCACAAGTGGTGTACTCTAAAAACAGGGTGCATGAGTCACCCTTAACCTAGGGTCAAATATAAGGTCATAGTTGTGGCTGAAAAGAAAGAAGATCACAATACAGATCTCTTACAAATCAGAACATGATAAACATTGCATTGTGTACATTCATTAGCCTATGGTATCCAGAATTCTTCAGTTCCTTCTCTGATTCCAGAACAGAGTTCTCCCCAGCTCATGCCACATACAGAGTTTGGTTTCCACCTGCAGATACACAGTGCAGAATTTCTCAGATTTCGTTATTCTTGCCTTATGCCCTAGCAATCATTCTCCAGCATCCATGGCTGCTCTCTGAAGCCTCAGTCCCTTCCTCCGGTTCCCCCTAGACCTGGATATCAAGTAGCTAAGAATCAATTTTATGATACTATTAATCAATTCAAGGACGTTTATGAACCCATTCTGCCCTGACATCAATAATAACTGAATGTATTTCATGGAGAACTAATGCAAAACCATCATGAATAAAGGGATCATTAACTCACCCATTTTAAAAAGTTAAATTTTGAGAGAGAGAGAGAGAGAGAGCGCGCAAGAGCATGAAAGGGGAAGACTCAGAGAGAGGGGGAGACACAGAATCTAAAGTGGTTCTAGGCACTGATCTTTCAGCATTGAGCCCAACGCGGGGCTCGAACTCAGGAGCTGCAAGATCATGACCTGAGTCAAAGTCATATGCTTAACTGACTGAGCCACCCAAGCGCCCCTAATTTTATGATTTTAAATTTTATACTCATACATGGCTGCTAGTTATTTTGTTTGAAAACAAAGATCTAGGAACTCAGGGTAGGCAGATAAAATAGTTTAGTGGATTGAAGATCAATATGGAAAGGAGACACAAATAGTCAGAAGTGGGGAATGAGAACGGTGGCCTACATGTTGACACAATGAACTATAAAGATCATAAGAAGCTGCCTTGATTAAGCAGATGTCTAGGGGTGGCTGGTGGCTCAGTCGTTTGAGTGACTCTTGATTTTGGCTCAGGTCATGATCTTGTGGTTCATGGAATTAAGCCCTGAGTCAGGCTCCACACTAAGTGAGGAGCCTGTTTGGGATTTTCTCTCCCCCCCCCCCCGCCCCGTGCTCCCTCGTCTCTCAAAATAAATAAATTAATTAAAAAACAAACATTTTTTAAAAAAGTTTACACAGATATGTAAACAGATATACAACCTACGTAATTTTAAGGGGTGAGGCCAGCTCACATGTCACAATGTGCAGAACTCACCAGAACTCAGAGTTGGAGGAGGTGCTGAAGCCAAACAGATTGCGTGGTGAGTTCCACAGACAAGCAGCCAATTCCGCTTGTTCTCTTCTCCCAGTACCCAGACTTCTCCGTTTCTTCTCAAGGCAAATGCCTGTGTGACTTCCCTTTTGTTCTAGGAAAAACCGTTAATAAACCTATTCAAGGGCTACATTCCAGGGTCACACCCTGACTGAATTGATCCTAAACAGCTGCAGCCTGTGGGACACACCCTGTTTTGATTGGATTCTCCACACTCATACAAACTGGCAGCCCTCACACAAGCCAGAGAGTGGAGACTCAGGACACTCTGAAGAGGTATTAGAACATCCATTTATTCCTTGACTCATTCCTAAGTACTTTGGAGTGCATTCTGTGAACCAAGAAACATTGTATGTCTTGGAAATGAAGCAGAGCATCAGATACTGTGGATCTCTACAGACACAAAACTGGGGGGAATATGGAATAAAAAAATTTTTTTAATGTTTCCTTGACTGCTGGGCACTGATCACATACTTTCAAGAGCACAGTAACAATTTATTAATTATCCAAAGAAAATGGGGAAAAGAATGTTATACATTATTTCTTGGTTAGTGGGGAAATAAGTAAGGGTGTTACTACATAATGAAATAGAGTAAATAATTTTGTTTCCATGTCATTCACAGTTAATTTATACATTTGAGTATAATTCTTACAATTGTAGAGATAGGCTCATCTGGCTTAAAACTCACTAAATTTCCAAGAGGAAATAATTAAACCAGAGGATGTATGTAGTAAGGATTTCATTGCACCTGAGAACTTTTATTTCTTTCTCCCAAAATGCCTGGCATTCTTGGTAAACCATGCATGCCAGTTCCTTCTTCCATGATCACCAAAGAGAACGTCAGACCTCTAGCACTACCGTGTGGTCTCCATGGACTCTTCTTTCACATGTATCAGATAGTGTATTAATGAGCTCACAATTGAAGCAGGTAATTTTGGATTTAGATACTTTCAATCACTAGATTTATTTATTTTTAATGTTTATTCATTTTTGAGAGAGAGAGACAGATCACAGGCAGGGGAAGAGCAGAGACAGAGAGGAGACACAGAATCTGAAACAGGCTCCAGGCTCTGAGCTGTAAGCACAGAGCCTGACGTGGAGCTTGAACTCCAGAATAGTGAGATCATGACCTGAGCCGAAGTCGGACGTTTAACCGACTGAGCCACCCAGGCGCCCCTCAACCACTAGATTTAATGTAGTCCTACACTTTCACTCATCTCCCTCAGATCAGTAAGGGAATGTCCTTTAACCTCAGGTAATTAAGACTTTAATCTTAGGTAATTTATTACTGCACTTGTGTTCAGTACCTATTCTCTCCTACTGTATCATGAATTTTATGCTATAATTTAAAGTGTAAATACATTATTTGAAAGCACTCCCTCTCAATCTGATCCCTTCTCTGAGCATTTCAACAGGTTGTGGACCACTCCACCTGACATTTCAATTGTAGACAAACCAAAACAAAACAAAAAACAAAAAAAAGGAATCCTGAGTGGCTCAGTCTGGTAAATGTCTGAGTTTGGCTCAGGTCATGATCTTGGAGTTTGTGGGTTCAAGCCCTGAGTTGGGCTCTGTGCTGACAGCTCAAAGCCTGGAGACTACTTCAGATTCTGTCTCCCTCTCTTTCTGCATGTTCCTGTTTACATGCACACTATCTCTCTCTCTCTCCCTCTCTCTCAAAAAATGAATAAACATTAAAATGTTTTAAATAAAAAACAACAAATAACAACAAAAAGAAAACTTCCATCTCCATTTACTTCCAACTGCTTCTCTCTCATCTTGTATTCCAAGCTGAGGGAGGATCCACCTTTCTCCTTATCCCACACCAATCTGATTTTTTGTCCCTATTAATTTATGGACATCTTTCTTGCTGACAATTCAAACGTTCTAATCTACAAAAAAATATGTCATGGCATATCTTCAGTCTTATGTTCTTTTCTTTTCCTTTTAAGTTTTTATTTAAATCCAAGTTAGTTAACATATAGTGAAATAATGATTTCAGGAGTATAAGTAGAATTGAGTGATTCATCACTTACATACAATACCCAGTGCTCATCCCAACAAGTGACCCCCTTACTGCCCATCACCATTTGGCCTGTCCACTACCCACCTCCACAACAGTAACTCTCATTTTGTTCTCTGTATTTGAGAGAATCTTATGCTTTTCCTCCCTCTCTGTTTTCCTTATTTTTCCTTCCCTTCCCATAGGTTCATCTGTTGTGTTTCTTAAATTCCACATATGGGTGAAATCATACGAAATTTATCTTTCTCTAACTGACTTATTTCATGTAGCAGAATGCACTCTAGTTCCATCCACATTGTTGCAAATGTCAAGATTTCATTCTCTTTTCATCACTGAGTAGTACTCTATCACATATACTCAGCACATCTTCCTTACCCATTTGTCAGTCGATGGACATTTGGACTCTTCTATAATTCGGCTATTGTTGATATTTATGTTATTTCCAACTTCAGCAGATGTGGATTCCTTCTGTGTGTAAGCCCTACCTTCCCTGGAATCTTTTCACTTTATGTTCTCAGAGAGCAGACGGGATGGAGTTTACTCCCCTGGGTGCTCACTGAGGAGTGATCTCAAGAGGAACATCTCTGGAAAGGTTGGGGAGGGAGAAGTCTAGCCTTCCACCATCAGCCCAACCACACAGGTTGCTGTAGAGCTAGGAGGGTCATCATACTTGTCCTCAATGGAAGCCAAATGGCCAGGCCTAGGTATTCCCCACCTCCATCAGTCACTGGTTGTCAGTCACTCTGGGGGCTGGTTGCCACGAGGCAGGTGGCTGTCTGCAGCGGAGTCAACCTCCACATCTGCTAACAGTTCAAATTGTCCAAGAACCCTGCTCCTGTCTTCTACCGTCCCGTGTCACCCCTTGCAGATCAGAAAGTAACAAGGATGATGTCCTACAATCACGGGCCCAGACAGGCATTGAGATGTCTGAGCTTTGTGGGTTTGACAAAGATGGATGGCGGAGAGGCAGCTAGCATACAAAAGGTGACAGAACACTGGGAGAGAAATCTTAGTCCTAGTGATACTTCTGCCAGCCGGGTGTGGATTGGGGCCACTGCAATCCTTGCATGGAGCCATGCCTTATCATCCAGCTGTCCTCACTCCTGGGAGGTGGGTTTTCAGAGTGCAAAGGCAAAGTCCCTCCACTGTAGCTCACAAGGCTCTCCTTCCATGGTTGACACAGGATATCTCAATCCCTGACCTGGGTTGGATTTCTTTGTGGAAAATATGTCACTATTACATCTAGAAACACCCTCATTACCACTCAACTCAGAGAAGGCTGTCTTCTGTTCTCCCTCTCCTGAGGCTCATGATTATAATTAACATAATAATTCAACCCCCTTAATTATGATCATTATCATGATTGTTATTGTCATTGATCATTACTTTCATTATTAGTTTTCTTACTGTGAATTACTTTTTAGTTGCTAAGATACAACCTTCTATAGATTTCCTCTACAGGAAAGCCATGTCTGCTGTACCGTATAGTATTTATGTTTCTGAGGAGCATCCTGAAATATATCAAGTCGGCCTCCAGAAACAGGATCAACCCTTGAAACCATGGAAGCCTCTGGGAGGGCATTCTTGGAACACTTCCTCTGTGAAAATTTAAAATCCCCTCTATGGCCCACTGACTGCTTGTGCCAGCTTAGAAACCCAGGAAAGTTGTCCTTAGACCAAGAGAACTGATGCAAAATTCTTTGAGTCAAATAGGGGGCCCACAACCACTCTCACCTTCTTGGAAAGATGAGAGATGGTGTCTCTGCCCATGTGAGCATCCACAGAAGCTCCTGTATCTAATATGGAGTCCTGGAGCCACCACAGCTACACATGTAGGTGCAAGAATGGCCTCCTAGGTTAGCCTGAGGCTACAGAAATCTTCTCTGTCCAGGATAAGCTGGTGCAGTATGGGAAGGCACTTCGAAGGGCGTTTTGTCCAGCTGCTATGGGGGCACTGTGGGTGACAATCTCCTAAATGCAGTCTTGTCTGATCCTCTGAAAATATTTTGTATAAATGTAATAATGCTGCACCAAACATGTATAAAAACAGGGAAGCTAAAAAAATATCTTTCTATATAATTTCCCATAAGGTACCAGGTGAAATTTGCCATAATACTCATATGTACTCATATAGAGGTAAGAGAATAAGAAAAAAAAATGTTTCAAAAGGAACGGGAAGCAGCCACATTATTTCTATTGTTAAAATTCCTGGAACCGTCCTAGGTAGATAAACATAATTATAAGGACTTTCTTGAATATTATATAAATCAGTCATATCAGACAGAGAGATGGAAATTTAGAGGGAAGTCCATGGACAGTAATCTTCCTCCAAAAAAAATTTGGGGGAGCTACGAAGATTCTGGCTGGTGACAAGAAAGATCTTCCAACATAATACCTGAGCTCCCACTGGAAAATAATCCTCCACATTTCAGAAAATGAAATGTCCCACACTCTGTGGCTCACTTGATATTACTCTGAAAGCAAAGTGGATACTCAGATAGGATTTCCTCTGAAGTTGGAAACTCTCAAGTCATTGTGTGGGAGAAAGGGAGCACTGGAAATCAGAGAGGTGGAGAAAATGATGAGATGTGTCTGTCTCTTGAGGGAGGGAGGGAGAGAGAGGAGGTAGGCTGGGCTGAGTGGTCTCTCTGCTGAAGAGTGACCACACCCTAAGATCCTATATGGATTCTTGAGATCGTAGCTGATTGGATGACGTGTTCCTAGACGGGTGGGTGGGGCAAGCTATAAAAGGGCTGAGGAGAGGGCCACAACTGTCAACTGAGACCAGCCTCCTGGGAGAAGTATTGCTCTGCACCCTGAGGCTTCACCTAGGGGATCTTATAAAAGTTGTCTCCGGAGACATGGAGGCTGCTTCTCCTCACCTCCGACAGGTGTTTCAGTTCAATATCTACAAAACTCAAATCGTGCTGGTCCACGACAGCGGGTGCTGAAGGCCACACTACCTGAGATGCCATCAGCATCATCGCAGACACGCTGCAACCTGCCTAATGGTTGGGCTCCCGCGTCTACACGGCTGGCTCCCTACGGGGACACTGGGAGTTGGAGGGGACCTCCTGGGATCGGCGCTGGGCTGCAGAACGTGGGAAACACGTGCTACGTGAACGCAGCCCTGCAGTGTCTGACCTACACACCACCCCTCGCCAGCTCGATGCTGTCCCAGGAGCACTCCCGAAGCTGTGGGAAGCACACCTTCTGTGTGCACTGTGCTCGGCAGGCTCACGTGACCCGGGCCCTCGGCCGTCCCGCAGATGTGATCCGGCCTCCTCCCACACTGCTCACCGCCTTCCACACCCACAGGCAGGAAGATGCCCATGAGTTTCTCCTGTTCACGCTGGATGCCATGCAGCAAGCGTGGACGCAGGAGGACAAGCCTTCAGGGCCTCAGGCTGACGACAGCAGCCTCATCCGGCAAATCTTCGGAGGGTACTGGAGGTCGCAAATCCAGTGTCTCCGCTGCCAGGGAGTTTCCAGCACTTTGGACCCTTACCTGGACATTAGCCTGGATATCAGGGCAGCTGAGAGTGTGAGCCAAGCTTTGCAGCAGTTGGTGCAGCCCGAACGGCTCGACGGGGAAAATGCCTATCGTTGTAGGACGTGTCTCGACAAGGTACCTGCGTCCAAGACGTTGACTCTGCACACATGCTCCAAGGTCCTGATGCTCGTATTGAAACGATTCTCCCATTTCACGGGCAACAAACTGGCTCAGGAAGTCCAATATCCTGAGTGCCTGGACATGCAGCAGTACATGTCTGAGCCGAAGGCGGGATCCAGGATTTACGTGCTCTACGCTGTCCTGGTGCACGCGGGATGGAATTGTCAGCGCGGACATTACTTCTGTTACGTCAGAGCTGGGAATGGCCAGTGGTACAAAATGGATGATGCGAAGGTGACCGCCAGCGATGTGACTTCTGCCCTGAGCCAACAAGCCTATGTCCTCTTTTACATTCAGAAGAGTGAATTGGAAAGAGACCGAGTGTGGGGGCCAGGTGGTGGGGAATCCACATCCCCACAGGCTGGCCACGCACACAGGCGTGGGGTCCAAGGGGGCCCTGAGACAGACCCCAACATCAAGGATCCTGAGTTGGAGGATCGTGGGGAAGACACACCAGGGCAACCGATCACGTTAGAAGAGTGGAGACTCCTCCAGGAAAGTCGCCGTCCCAGGTCTGAATTCAACCTCAGGAAGATAGAATCGGCTCTTCCCGCCCATGCCGTCTTAATTCACCAGTCCAAATACAGAGAGGAGGGGGGAAAGGAACCTCGTGAACAAAACATCTACCCACTCAACAATTCATCCAGAGACAACCCACCTCACGGGGCAACAGACATTGACAAAGTCCCTTGTCTCATTTGACAGAGCTACCAAGAGGAAGAAGAAGAAGGGACAGGGGTCTCAGGAAGCAGTCCAAGGATCTCACTACAGGCTTTGATATATATGCCTGAATAGGAGCACACTCACCCACACTCACTGAATCACAATACCTTGTTGGACATGTTTTCTTTGTTGTAGGTGTGTGTGATTTGGGCATGTAGAGGGAACCATGATTTGGCTGTTTACATGGGATATGGAATTCCACATGACTTGGAGAACTCTGAGCTTTTAAGCTCGCTATCTATGATGTTATTGGAGACGTTTGGCTTTAGGACTGAATATTTGGAGGATTTCTCCTCTCCATTAGCACAGAGGAGAATTGGGGGCCAATCAGAGCCTAAAAGGATCATAGGGAGTGGCCCTTCAGGCATGAAGAGGAGAACCAGGGGTGAGCACCTTGAGTTCATGTGAAAATGACTAACACTAAAGGTCCCACCATGAATTTCTTACTCTCTTTTTATTTTTAAACTACATTTGTTCCTATAAGTTCTTATTAGTTTCTAGTCTCTAGTGTCTAGTAGCTAGTAGCCATGCCTAGTTCCTAGTTACTATTTCCTAGTGTCCAGAAGTGAGGAGCCCCAAGGTTATTGGATGGCTGGGATTAAAGTCCCCAAGAGGTCAAGTGTCCTTGGGCCAGTGTAATAGTCTCAGAGGGAAGGAAGTGCTCCTCGACTGATTGTTCCTTGGGCACGCTGGAGGCTGAGTCTCATCCACTGGAGTCCGCCTGCTACCGACCTTTCTGAACATTTCCTGACAGACAAGAGGAGCACACTAGCATTTCAGGTGGGTTTGCACCCTGTGGGCCTCACAGGAGCTGACAGAGAAATAGGACAGGGAGGAAATGGAGCTTGTGATGTGCCTCTCCTCACCAGGTGAAGGCCTCTTCAGTGTGGAAGCGAGTTCTGAGAACAGAGACTGATGAAAGGCATGACTCTCAATGTTCCTGAGGATGTGAGGTTCTCATTCCAAACACACTGAACCTCAGAATCTGATGGGTGCGGGGTTGTGCAGGAGCGTTGACCGCATGTTGCTCCATTTTATCATGGGGCCTCAAAGCCTAAAGAATTCACTTGTTTGCCTGAATTTCCGATATTCCTTTTCCGTGGGAGACAAGTGAGTTCAGCATGAGGCCCTGAAATGGCAAAATGAAATCCAAGGGTTCAGAACTCCCGTGGGGAAGCTAACATCGAGTGGAGCAGAAACCATGACATTTGGTTAATGGGATTTGTCTTTGAAAATGGTTTCCTTGGGTCCAATGGGAGAGGCACATTTTGAAGAAGCAATCATCCTACCCTTTCCGTATTCAACTCTGGGTGACACAGGTAGCATTGCTATAGATTGACTGCAGTGTCCATTGAGGTCAGGAATTTGGGTGTGGTTCTGCTTCCAGATGACATTGAGTGAGACTTCCTGAAAGTCTCCCCATTGAGCCACACAAGACCACGTCCCCCTCCTTGCCTGAGGGCGCCCTCCTGCTGGTGGGTCCACAGGAGAATGTGAAGGACATGCAGGAAGGAGAGGTCACACACTGTGTTTGACCTGGTGGGCATGACGCCCCCTCACGCCTGCTGCCAGCAGAAGGTACCTGAAGGAGTCACTGTGTCTGTGGGAATGACTCTCCTTTTTCCATTGTCATAGGAAATCCAGAAATCCACGTGCAAGGAAGGCTGACTTGCCCCTCCAAAGAGCTGGGGCAGATGGCGCGTGGTGTCAGGCAGCACGGACCTTCCGGACCCTTGAAAGCCCTCAAAGGGAAGACTCAACGGAGAGTCCCCGTGGCGCCCAGGGTGCCCAGGCCAGAGGACGAGGATCCTCGGGTAAGTGGAGCCCTGCAGGAGTGGTGAGCCAGTGGGCGGGGTGGAGGGGGAGGGTCGGCGGTGGGGGGAAGCCACGACCCTGGAGATGAGGACCGCACCTGACGGGCTCTGTGTCCACGAGGCAGTCGTCCTCTCCGAGCCCAGGATGGCCTGCCTTGGCCTCTCAGCAGCCCGCCCATCGGGATCACCTCAGTCGGCTGGAGGGTCCCGTCCAGGCCGCTCTTTGGCCCCATCTTTCCGTGTGGCTCATTCGATTCAGCCTGAGACCTGCAACCGCAGCTCGCGACCCGTCCCTCAGAGAGCCTTGGGGAGAATCCTATGCGCTCCTGGCTCCTGGCTCCTGGCTCCTCGCGAGCCGTCCACGATGGGCCCGCTCCCAAAGAAGCAGTCCTCCGCTGCGCGGCGGGGTGGTCCTTCTCAGGTCCCTTGCAGTTGCACTGGGATGAGTGCCGATCCACTGAGCCCCTCCTCCTTCGTCCACAGCTCAAGTGTAAGGACTGTGGAGCCTTCGGGCACAAGGCGTCCAGCACCAGGTGCCCCATGAAGCGCTGGGATGGGTCCCTGGGCCCCCAGGCCTTGGGCTCCAGGAAGCTGAAGGAAAATGTGCAACCAGGCCACGAGCGGAACCAGCACAGGCCTGGGCCCTTGGACCAGGCTGAGAGGGAGGAGGAAGAGAGACAAAGGTGAGCATCGGGCCGGCTCT